CAGGAAGTGTCTCCTCATCCATCTCATGGGAGGTTGCAATGATCTATTAATTGCTGTCATTCATATGATGTGTGTTTGCTCTGTCGTTCTCTCACGAGGCTTAAGAACTCAAATTATTGTAATTTGTAATTAAAACAAAGAAGAACCAATTTTCCCAAAGTCACCCCAGTTATATCTCTCCCGCTTCTCACACCCACACCTGGTTTCTTCATGGCCTCAGGTGCTTGTGATGACTCACCTGGCTCACCTGGTTCATCCTCTCTGCCTGCAAATTCTAAGATGGCTGAGATCCTCAGGTCCAAATTCTGATGATGTTTTATACACCTCAGATTTGTTTTGTTAAAAAGTAGGGGACAATCTAAGTAATCAGGTTACTATTTTCTACCTGGTCAAATTTCTGTGCTTTGGGGAAAAGGCAAACACATCTAGCAACGAAAAGATCATGCATATTTATAGCTGTTGGATGGAAAAATCATGTAATAGACCAGTATAAACATTTGCAAGTGTGGTTTTCTGAAGATGTGTATGTCTCTGTATCATTTTTGGAAAAAGTCTTTTAAGTTAATTATTAATACTAATTATATAAATGCATGCTCAATAATTTATAACTACATAGAATTACATAGAACTATGAAATATCAATAAACTTCACAAAAATGCTCAAAATCTATATGAAGAAAGCTTTGCGATCTTGAGAGAGCTGCAGAAGATAAATAGAAAGAATGATTATGTTATTGATTAGAAAACCCAACATCATAAAGATATTAATTTCACCTAAATTATCCATAAAACTGTTTCCATGCTTATAAAAATATAATCAGGATTTCTGGAGGGAATCTATAAACATTATTTCAAAGAAAATAAGAGAGAATAAGCAAGAAAATTAGATAAAATAAATAATGAGATAAGACCTAAAGGCATTAAAATATATTCTATACATCTAATAATTACAATACTATGATGATGTAAATAAAGGTAAAGAGCTATAGAGACATATAGTTAAAGGTGGAAATTTAGTATCTTTTCAAAGCAGTGGGAAACAGTATGGATTATTTAATACATGCTTTTGAAACAAGGGGGTATGACAGAAAAATAAAATGGATCTATACATTATATGATATATAAATATAAGTTTTGAATGGATTGAGTAAAGTGTTTTTTAAAAATGCATTAAAGTGCTATAAAAACAATAACAAAGAGAAAATTTACTACGATATTTCAGATTTTTCTTATCTCTAAAGAGCTCCTAAAGCACAGCAAAAATGCAGGCCAATAAAGCATTCACAGAAAAAAACACCACAGATAGATTTTAACACTGTGAAAATGTGTTCAAACTAACTCTTATTAAGAGAAATGCAAACTCAAGACATTGTGGGATCCTAGTTTTAGCATGTCAGTCCGGGAAAGACAAGTCTGACAGGATACCCTATAAGGCTATGGAGCTGTTCCTATAGGATCCAGACCTTCTTACTCTTTTCCTATGAGGCCCAATTGCATGAACTCTGTAGAATGAAATGTGATACCTTACAAAGTTACAAACTCACATTTTCTTTGACCTAGAAGTACATTTGATGGAATTTATCATCCTAATACATATACTTGGCAAAAGTATGAAACGACACACCTATAGGTTTATTCATTAAGGCATGCTTTGACAGAGCAAACTTCAGTGCTCATTAGCGGGAAGCGATTAAACTAATGATGCTGTAAGTTTTCTGGCTGAATACTCTGAAGGTGTATAAAGAAGCAGGAAGTTCTCTAGGACTGAAATTACTGAGTTTAAAATGTGGGACAAAATCATCTGGACAGCTTGGTATCATTTGTGTGAAGCATGCATGTGGGATAAAAAGACTATCAACATTTAATTAAGAAATGTCTATCATCTATCTGTCTCCTATCTATCTATCTATCTATCTATCTATCTATCTATCTATCTATCTATCTATCATCTACCTATCTATGCTTTCTAAGAAGCTATAGAAACCAAGCATTCAAATTTCCTCTTGGTTTAGCACTTTCAACTACTTATTTTGCTCTATCTTTGAATTTCGATTCATGAGAATGTAGTACCTGGGGAACAGTAAATAATTTTTAAGAAAAATCACACTGTGGTACGAGTTGCTCACTTGTTATGAAACCAGATATTGACTTTGCAGTGTGTCGTTCCGCTGTGCACATTGCACGCACTTCCTGTGTGGGTGTCTCCCAGGCAGCCCCACGTCCTGCCCTGCGAAACCCAGACCTGGCTTCCAGCACGTTTGTTTTGAGCTAAACTTGCCTTTTCCCCACTGAGTTTCTCTCTCCTATAAATTCCACCCACCACCTCTTCACAGCCATCACAGGAAAGGATGAAGCAGTTGTTCATTATGCCAAGGAAATAACCAATTAGCCATTCGACAATTCAATAAGCTTTGTATAAATCTAGTGAACAGATGATATCTTAAATAAGTTTGATAAATTAGTGTTTAATTCGTTTCTTGTAGAGCCACACAGACCTCCCTACCCTCAGTGTAAATGTCACCCAGGTGCTGGTGGGTGACAGGACAAGACAATATTTGAAACCCTTTCACTTAACAGTGGACATGAGGCTTCCAGCGACACTGACCAGAGGAAGTGAACTTCCTGGGGCCCCTTCCAAGACGTTCCTTCAGCTTCCCACGTCACCCCCTTCCAACCCCAGAGTTGAATGCACATGGCAAAACTCTTTAAGTCAAATCTTGTAATTGCTTCCAATTTGTCTGTTTTGCTTTTGGCAATTAACAAACTGAAATGTTATCACGAAGGAGTTCATCTCATTTATAAGACCAGGTTTTCCCTCCATTAAAATATGCAGGCACTCTGTTCTTTATTACCAGCAGGAGATAAATGGCTGGTTTTCGTTGCTGAAGAATATATAATGGTTAAAAAGTCACTTTTTTCCTCCAGCTCTACATAAATCACAGAACTAGTCAATATTTAATAATGCTTGCCTTGGTCTGGAGTCCCTTGATCACCCCTGTCATGTGTAATAGCTCCCTCTCCGATACCTTTGACATAAAAGCCCAGCTTTACTGCAATACTAACATGTAGAGGGTCATTACGGATCGACATTTACCTTAATCTGTGACTGCCAACCATGAACCGATAAATTCCAGCAGATTCCACTGGGAGAAATCAGTAAACTTCTCAGTGGAAAGAACTGAAGGAAAATTCTGCCGAGAACAGAATACATTTTCTACAAGGGCTCCTCTGCAAATGGGTTCTGACTTTTGAAAGTTCTCTTGCTGCGCAGCTTTGCAACATTTAATACCATTTTGATGGTTTGAGAGACGGGATGACAACCGAAGATGACATGACTTAGAAGGCAAGCAGAAATTTTCTCTGCAGAAACAATGCAAGATTAAACACAAGGGGGAATATGGCTCTTGCATTATTCACCCAGCTGCCTTGGCGGAAATAGCTGGGCTGTCATGGGTCCGGCCTAAATGTTGCTTCTTTTTTCAAATCGATCATCACTCCTTCACCTCATAATCTTACAAGTGCTTCACAGCAGAATACATCAAAGCCCTGATTGCATAAAAAAGGGACACACCAATCTTCAGGAGGAGCAGCTCAGACTCTGACACGCGCTCCTCTCACTGCCCGTCTGCTTGCTGACACTGTGCAGATATGCACGCTCCCCTCAAATTTCCGAAGCTTGTTTTCCCGCTTTTACACTTTGAGGATGTTAATCTTACAAATGGCTACAGATAATGCATAAAGAAAGAAACTTTCCAAATCTGAGGAACACTACCTTCGCGTTAATAGCATGGGGGATTATGTCTACAATATCGTTTGCTACTAGATATACACGGACTAACTTCACATAAGGGGTGTGAACATTATACACTGCAAACATGTACACAGAAAGGGAAGGGGATCAAGAGATTGGTGGAGTGGAGAGGAAGGGAAGGGAGAGGGGAGGAAGGGAAGGGAGAGGGGGTGTAGAAAGGGATCTAGATGTGTCATGGACAGGTACAAACTGCACACAAGGACGGTAAACATTACACACGGCACCTCTGCACTGACAAATGAAAATCAAAAATTATTGAAAAATCATCTCTATGAATACAAAGATGGGAAAGTGATAGAAGAAAACACTTGCTAGACAGGAAAGGTGTCTACAACCATATGCTTGCATTTCTGTGTGCTAGGGAATTCTTTAAACCAGCACCATGTTATCACAGTGCCTAACTTGTTGAATTGGGATGTTTTTGACAATTCTTTTAAGAAACCCCATGACTAAACATGTGTAATCTATGTTAAGTGAATTTATCAGTGCACACACCAGAATTGCCAATTTAATTTAGAAACATCACAATGGCCTCCAAAATTAGTTTATTTAAGATGGGCCGCAAAGCTAAATCTCAACTCTTTGCAGGAATAGTTTTTGATTTCAAATTATCTTTTAAGCCTGGGGATGAAAATACTCAGTAGCCTCCCATTGCCCGCAGAGGAGACACTCAAAGGCCCCCATATATGTCTGAAACTGGTTTTCCTCTGCTTATGAGAAAGCTCAATCTATAAATTAGGCCCAGGGAGAGGTTAACAGCAGAAAGTAGTAGTAAAATAGCAGAATCATAACAATATGCTAAAGTAAAAGTAACGTGGATGTAGCTGCTCTCACTCTGCAATTTTCCATTTAGGAATTTTGGACGGTGGTGGAATCTCTGGCAATGAGAAAGGTGGAAAGTGAATCTGTGGGTACTACAGTACCCTAGATTGTCCTGTCTCAGCCTCCAGTTCATCAAAACCACCAGAAGGGCTCATTCAACCAGGCTGCTGTGCATCCTCCAGCACTTCTGATCCAGTCAGCCAGGGCTGACAGGGCCTCTGCTTGCTATTGCAGGGGGACCACACACTGAGAAATGTGTGCTCCTCACTCACCAGAGAAAATAAAAGAATTAAAATCTGCAGCTAAAAAAATTCCCATGAAAATACAGTATTTTCTAACATTAGCATTTTAAAATTGCACAAATTACCTGGGTCTACATAGAAAATCCCAGTAACAAGGACGGAGTAGGTTAAGCATCCATTGGGGTGCAGCGGTGCACCCCACCTTACGTGGGCTTCCCGGGCCCCCTCTGCTCTGACAAACACATTTACTGTTCCTTCAGGAGGAGTTTCCAGAGTTCGATTTTCCACCTGTGAGTATAAAAAGATTTATTTTTGTTTGCAAATAAAATAAGTACATGCTTGGCTTTGAGCATATTTCTTCAAAGAATCTCCTTTGGCTGTGAAGTAAACTATTTTGACAGTAGCATCTTGTCTGAATACCTCACTTTGTCAGCAGGATCAAAGCAGACCTCGTGTTTTCTTCCTCCTGCTGTTACAGCTTAGAATTGGAGCTCCGGACCAAGACAGCTGCTTGTGATTTCCAGAAAATGTGGATCAGCTCACACTGGGATTGCGCCTATGGTTGTGCATTACCATAGACTATTTTAGGATCACTTTAAAATTATTTCTATATGATTGTGAAGGAGAAGAAATGCATACAGTCTGTTTTCATGAGTGCCTGGTGGAAGGGACAGCTTTCTGGCCTTTATCAAAAAGCCCAGTCAAGCATCCGGATTCACAATCTGTGTTTTGGAGCTGTGTTGCTATTAGGTATATAGAGATGGTATCATGCTGATGGTAAGAAATAAACCCACCTGAGTGACTATATCCATAAGGCAGGACCACAGAAAAACCTGACATGGTGTTAATCAGCCTATACAAAAACCAGGGGAAGATAAACTGTTGCAAAGTAAGAAAGTAATCCTACATTGCACAAGGGTCGGAATGATTTCAATAGCTAAATGAGTAAAATGACTAAGTGACCAGAAGATTAAATTGGCTAGAGGTTAGAGAAGCAGTCTAGATTGTTTATTATCTCCTTATCACTGGCTTCAACCTGGTAACTAATCACCATAAACTCCTAAGCATCACTTATAAATATTTGACATTTTACAACCTATTGAATATGTTGATAATTCTGACCTTAGGATTAAAGTACAAGCAGGCTCAGGCCTCAGAAGAAGGTGATCAAACACGAAATCCTTAGGCAGGCAAATATTCTCAATTATGAAGGCTTTATTTGTTAAGGTGAATACGTTTTCCCAATTATGAAAATAAATGTGAAAAAGACAGAGTGTTAATTTTTAATAAGTATGAGGTCACAAGATGTTTTATTTTAATCAGAGAAAGGCTACAGGGTTCTTTAGATCTTTAATTCCTATTCATTTTTTAGTTTAATAGCTATGTACAAAAAATGATAAAAGAAAGTAGGTTTTAAAAATAGCCATTTGTCATTTTAATATTTCATAATAATGCAGCTAGTTTCATTATTTCTATGTGCACAGTTCAAAGTATTGTATAGAAAACTATTTTAAAAGGTTCCAAATAAAATGAGACTCAAAAAGTTGATTAAGGGCAATTCTAGGTAATTATATTATTATCCTCAAATACCTGGCTAATTCAAAATAAATATTTTTTTAATTTCCTTAAGTATCTGGATAAATATTCCAGCTTTTAATCTAAATTAAATTTAGCCGTTGTGCTATTTTACTCTGACCAAGACTTTTTTTTAAACCTTTTTATTTCTATATTTTGCCTTAAAGGTAGTCTTAAGGAACAGACTCTTGGGAAGGTAAATGTTGGCTGGTTTTTGACCTGGAAACCCCCTTTGACACAGAACAAGTTAGACAACAAACATAAAAATAATAAAATTTTCATCCTTAATAAATCTCTTACAGTGTACTACAACCTCAAGTGTAAATAATATTTCACTTAATTTTACTGCCACCCCTTTCAAGGTAGACCTTGGTAATAGTGGGGAGATCTGAGGCTTAAGAAAATAAGACTGTTTTTCCAGGAGGCCCTGGGGAAAACAAGAGTTAGAACAGCTTTTCATGTGGGATTTTCTCGCCCATAACATAAACTGTCATTAAGATTTAGATGTCTTAAGTAACAGATTGATTTTTTTTTCCCCAAAAAAAGACCGCAAAAGTGTAATGTATGTGTGTGTGCACACGTGTGTATGTGAGGTGTATTTATGTGCATAACATGTCATCCTCAAGAAACCCCGGCAGCTTTTAAACCCTAGCACACAGCAGTGACCTGCAGTTTTGCACCTTAATCTTAAAATGACCCCTGGAGAATCGATCCAATGAGGACTCCCAGGTCAGACACAGCTGTAAAAGCCTCCGCCTCAGATTCCACCGGTTTATCCAACACTGGCTAAGTCAGTGAGGGTCCTATAGAGAAACTCATTGAATGTTATCACAGAAACACAAAACATGAAAAGTTTTTCCCTGATGTAACTGAAAACAAGGAAAACCTTTCAAAACTTTCCACGTTAATTTTTCCATTGTTTCAAACATTTATAAAATCCTCATTCATGGATTTAATTTAACAGTGCTTATTAGCCTCTTTAGGATCTAAGGCACCACACTTTTTATGCGAGAGTTTCTTCAAGTGTCAAGTGCATTGTTTAAGTGGACAAGGACCAAAGAAACTCCAAGGGCATTGGGGGGAGTTGCAGGGTACCTCTCCCTCTGCTCCAGGGGTAGCCAGCTTTGATCAGCCCAGGAAAAGAAATCTATTGCGCTAACAGCATCAACATGGTATGAATGTAGATTTTAAATGT